TTAGATTTTTGCCATGATCCTTTTCTTGTTACTGTCTGACTGCATTTCCTTCTTGTTGAATTCATGCAAGATTTCTCTTGAAAATTTAAAGTTCTATCTTCAACTATTACTGCTATTAATTAGAACAAATGATTAATTTTTTAAGATAGAAGTCTGGAAATGTGGCTGTTACAAGCACAGAACTTGCATACTTCAGAAATCTATAATTTTTTATTTTTCTTAATTTCATTTCATTGTCTTGTTCTACAGCTGTAATATATTGAAAAAAAACCCTTGTGTTTATAATTTCATGGCTGTTAAAAGCATTATTATTATTATTCATTATCCAGAATCCAGTTAATTTCCATTTGTTAATCTACCACTCTTGTATCTGTTGCTGGCTAATGCGAAGAAGAAATATTTTTCTTTTTCTTTCAAGTTTGACCTAAAGCTTGCAAACCTAATTTCCATTATATGTATTGATGCTGGGATGAGGAAAGACATATCTTGAAAGTTTTATTTCTGTTTGTCAAGGGTGTTGGGTTTTGATCAATCTCACTTTAAGTAATTGGCATCTACGTTAAGTATCAAATAAATGGAAATTCTAAGTAATCCCTAATTTGTTGGAATGTTTGGTGTTTTTATAAAGCATTAATTTATATAAGTTTCTGGAAGATGATACATTGAATATAAAGGCTGTACTGAACACAGAAAGTGAGTTGACATAAAAATATTAGAAGGCTTTGTTTTTTGAATACCAGCTTTTCTTACAAGCAGTCTCTCTGAAAGCACCTATCTGTCTTTGTTGAAAGATGGGCTAGATTGGATTGCAGTTATTCAAACTGCCAAAGGAAAAGATGGGGAATGGAAGGAGGAGCAGTGAGAAAAGTCAAGGACTCAATAGCCAAAAGTTTAATTTTAATTTGTCCTGGCCGTAGGGTGAAGTTGCATGATGGTATCTTGTCTTCAGAACCCTTGGTTTGTGCAGGATTTTCATCAGAGGTTGTTTAAGAACCCGTTAGTCTTGTGAAGCCAATAGGGTGGTGTTTGTAAGCTTTGCTTTGGTGGTTTTTTGTTTGCTGCTGGGGTGAAGTCAATGAAGCAGATTGCTCAGGATGTTCAGGATTGTTCTTGTATGTGACTGGTTTGTGTTTGTCTACACTACAGTTCTGCCCTCAGTTGTCAGCACCTGATCAGGACGTTGCCAGGTGCTCATTCCTGTGTGCTCACATGGCAGTGCACTGAGGGAAGAACTGATACAGACTAAAAACTGGCAGGAGGAGATGAAAGAAATGGAGTTATTTTGGTCCTGTACCCAGTCAGGTTCAGTGGGTAACCACATCAGCTGCTGTCCTGGCTCAGAGGAGGGGAGATGTTGCTGAAGTAGGGAGCGAGTTGCCTGGGGAAGGAGCTCATTGCCTGTGGGGCAGCAAAGCTGCTGCTGATGTGCTCACATGTGTGCAGCCTTGAGGACTGAGGTAAACTGCAATTGTTGTGTCCCAAATCTGCCTGTATGGTGATAGATGCCCCCACTGAACATGCCATGGCGTAGCTAGTAAATGCTTACTCGTCTGTTGTGTTACTGGCAACCTTAATGCACAAAAATGCCTGTCCTGTTCAGCTCCCAGCTGAAGGCACCGGAGCTGTCCTGCAGCACCCCAAGTGCTGCCTAATGCCAAGTGCAGGGAAAACTGGGCACATGGTGTTCACAAACAAACACTTTTTCAATCCTCTATGCCAAGATCTCAGCCAATTAAACAGGAGCAGCAGCTCTGGGGAGCGGTGAACGTGGAGGGGCTGGTGCCGTGCAGCAGCAGGGGTGAGTCAGGGAGGCTGCCTGGCCTGGGGCCAGCAGTGTCAAAAATGAGCAGGAAATCGATTTAGTGAAGCTCTGTGGGTGAGCACCTCTCACTAAATGATCTGCTGACTTAAAAAAAAAAAAAAAGGGGGATAAAAATTAAACATATTACTAATAAAATGCAACGTAAAATATGTACCGAGCAGGACAAATTGTCTGTGTTATGTAGATTTTTGCTGCTTCCTGGCTGTTATGGGCTTGGAGCTGTGTTATTCCATTTCTGTCATTGCTCTGTGTGTAATCTATAACCTTCATCTAAGAAACACGACTCATTAATTAATCATTACCAAGGGCAAGGCATGCAACAGCATCGAGTGTGCCAAATCCTCTCTCAAAGTTTTTAAGTGTCTGACTGCTCGTAGATACCATTTCAGTAGTCCTGGCAGATTACTCTAAAGGACCAGATCTTGCAGCACGTAATAAATTTATGGATTTTGATATCAGTTATTCCAGTGGCACTCCAAGTAATTTGCAACCTTGCTTTCCATTTATTTAACCCTCTTTGTAGTGGTGCCCGGTGCTTTGCTGCTGTGGATCTTAACACTGATGGAATAGCCAAAATATATGAACCATCTCTCATCAAGAGATGCTGGTAAATTAAGAGATATTCTCTCAGACTCCAGAAATGCGAAATGGCAGTGACAGGCCACTCCATGGGATGTCCCTTCTCTTCTGACAGATAGTTCACTCCATTTTTATGCTGGTTGTGTAGTATCTGATGAAATTGTTCCTAAAGAGTCCAGTATTATTTTAAGAGATGTCTGAAAGGAGTAACTTCATTCCCTCTGGTGTGCTTCATCTCTTGTTTGCTTTGGCTTGTTTGGAAATCCTGGTAGATGTTTGCAAACACTTCTCACCTGCCCTCTTACAAGAAAGGCACATCAAGCAAAAAAAACCCCAGAACTTGTCAGATTGCACTTTTAGTCAGTCTTGGTAACAAGTAGCTTATTGAAACCCCTGTGATGAAACATGAAACCTGTTTTGATTTTTTTGTTTATTAATTTAGTGCATGGATTTAGGATGGTTTTTTGTTTGTTTTGTTGTTTGTGTGTTATGGGTTTTTTTAATTCAGTTAAAGCTATACTGTTTCATCTTTCTTTGGAGCTCTTCATATAAAACAGGCAAAAGCAAAAACTGAAAACCTGCAATTTTAGCCCTACTGCACTTTTTTTAGGGAGTCAAAGGAGAAAGACAATCATGTGCTTTGACCTCTGAGTTTGAAAATCTCTGTTCTTACTTTAGTCTTCTTTTTCGAGTCGTTTTTGCATGATCTGTTGTCCCTTCCCTCCATGCTGCTCCATGGGAAGGTGCTATTCCAGCAGCAGGGTGGCCAGGGGATGAGTGGGATGGGGGCAGTGCCTGAGCAGGGTGGGCTCGGCAGGACCTGTCCCCTCCTGGCTGAGCCCTGAGCAGGAGCACCCTGGGCTTCAGTTATTTAATTACTCTTTAATTTTAGCTGTCAGTGGCCACATGTCTTTCTGTTAATCAGCAGCTCCCCATGATGAGTTTTAAAGGTGGGCTTTCCTGAGGATTAAAGATGTTTCTGCATCAGGTGGGTTTTAGCTCTCACAAATGACTTCTCCTCCTGCTTGGTGGCTTATCGGTGTCTGTATCTCTGGAACCTGATGCTGCTCTTGAGGATTTTTCCTATTCCAAATTCAGCAGTTCCTGAAATCGTGGTACAAACAGGGAAGGCATAAAGGAATTAACAATTCTAAGCAAATACCGTGAATGGCACAGAATTACCAAAGCAGGAGGTGTGTATTAGAAGTGTAATTTGCACTGAGGCAGAGGTTGATAGGATTGCACAAAAGAAAGTAAGCATAATAGTGAAAATAAGGAGATTATGAAGTAAAGGCTCCATTCCAAGCCCTAATTAGTGAGGTTATCTGTATCTCAGCTTTTACATTTCTGCATTAAAAGCACTGAGGGTTTTTTTTTGTTCTTTAAAATTGATTCATATTCTTAGAAAAATCTTATGCCAGGATTCTGGCCTTAAAGATTTTACATGATACTGATGTACAATGTGTATCGAATTCTTTGTCTTATTTCAATAATTGATGCTTTATGGAAAGCTGTTGGCCTGAAATACAACTGTGCCTATTCATTTCCAGGGAGATAAACCTCCGCAGTTAAGTAGTGCCAGTACATCAAGCTTCTTTTTTAACCAAAAATAAGTACCATTAATTTAAATATAGTGAAAGCAATGGATAAAGCTAGCAGTCAGTGTTAAAAGAAAATAGCTTAAAAGTTCCTTGCATAGCAGTGAAAAGCATTAGCTTGTCTTTCTAGGGTTTTGTATGTATTTAGGAAACATTTGGCTCTGGGATTGGTGGTTAACTTGTCTGTTCCCACCTCCAGCCTGTGGGGATTTTGTATTTTTTTGAGTGGGTGACTATCAACTGTTTGAATTTCTTTGGCAGCACAACCAATCACTTCTTCACCATTATTTCTTATTGTTCAGTTTTCAAATGCAGGGTGTAACCTACATTTTTTTTTTCCAAGTCATTTTACAAGTACCTTTGGCTCTACCTGGATCATTTCCCTGACCAGGTGAAAAATAAATCAATTGTTGAGGCTACGGACGTGTTCGGTAATATTTGTTTTTCCAAAAATACTTTTGAGGGTAATGATAATGCTGAAGAAAACCTGGGAATCAACAAGTAGTAGGAAGTATTGCATACTGAGAAAGAAGAGAATAAATTGGCAGGGAAAGCAACAGAAGGTCTGGAAAGTGATGAGTAATTTAAATTGAACTTTTCATAATGAAGATAACCAGTTAGAAGTGCCTTGATGCAAAAGTTTTGAGGAATATTGTTCGAGATCATCATGTCTTTTCCTTCTTTGGGAATTGTGTAGGGAGGACGTGGTCCTTTCTTATTTGCTCCTTTTAGAGGTGTAAAAACTACGTTGCTAATTTATTGAATCTCATTGCTTGAGTGTTTGCATTTGGGACAGGAAGGAGGGGAAATGAGAGGCGTAAGGAAGGATACATCTAAAAGATGATTTCTTACATCCTACGTGGAGATTGCGTCGCCCTTTTGGTAGTTAAAAACTGAGAGACGAGTACCAAAACACTGTTAAATCTTTGCTTATTACTAGGATTTTACAGCTAATTGTTTTCTGAAAGTTGTACTTTTTTTTTTTTTTTCCTCTCTGACAGATCCCTCTTGCTTTTCATTGCCCACTGCACTAAGAACTCCCTCTCACCTGATGAGCTAAAGACACGACCCCTAAGGACGGGAAACGGAGCGTTTCAGACCTCCCCCTTCCGTGAGTACTCACAACTTCAGCTCTGTGTGTTGTTCTGCTCGGAGATGTGTTTATATTGTCGACCGAAGTAGTTCCATCTATGCTTGAAAAGTGCCTAGGAAGATCTCTGCAGGAAAGTGGTTTTGTAGAGGAAAGCAATTTGTCTCAGCACTTTTCCTTTACAGAATCTACTGCAGCCTTTTCCAGCCCAACTGAATTACTTCGGAAAGCTTCACTTAGAGAAATAGACTTTTTTTTTTTTTTTTCCCCTGCCTACCTGGATGTTCATTTGCAGGAGTTGCCCATCCTGACAAATTCAGGATCAAATGAGGATGTTAGGAATTTATTGCTCCTGGCATCAAAGGAAATTTTTCCTCTCTCAAATGGACCTTTTATTCAGATTCTGAACACAACAAAAACTTCTTAGTCCGTATGATTGGCTGCAGATCATGAGGTTCTCAATCTGTGCATGTGTAATATATGCTGTGCAGAGAGAAGATAAAGAGAAGAAACTTTTACATTGTCTGTTCTTTTGTGGTGTCTGTAACTGCTGGTCAGAATGCTCACAAGACAGCCCGTAATTTAATTACTGCTGTACACATGCTCTGGGAATTAATGTAATTATATGGAGTGGCACACTTACCCCGATGTGTCCAGCAGTGAGAATAGGGTGTCTTGCTTAGGAGTAGCTCAAGAGTGAAGGAAACAAAACCTTCTGTTGATAGATAAGAAAATAAAAAAACAACCTTTTTTTTTTTTTTATTTTGAGTTTTGTCTTCTCTTGTGGATTTTAATTTTACCAAGTACAAGTTTTTTTTGTGATACACCTGAGAATTCTTATTCAAATCATTTAAATCAGTGGCAGTATTTCTTAGGAAGCTACTCCCAGATCGTGCCTCTTTGTTAAGGAAATCTTTTGATTGAAGTTGGTTTAATGTAACATTTTATATTGTTTCACTTGGAAAAATTGTGGGGTTTAGATATGGGAAACACCAAATTCCAAAGGAATTCTTTTACTCTCACGTTCTTCTGCATTGTTTGCAATGAGTCAGTTGCTTTTTATTCCATATTTTCTACTGGAAGGTTAATTTCTGTCTCCAGGATTGTATTTCTTTAGTTTTTAGACCATTAAGATCGATGCTCCATACTTATAAAGTAACTTACTCTAAGAGTCTGAATCTTTAAATTTTCAAAATTTATGTAGTGTAAGAAAATTAAAATGAGAGAACCAGAAATGCTTCAGCATAAGTAATTATTCATACTGAGAAAGAGAATCTGGTGGGATTGTGGAGTTTTTTTCAATTTATTTTTACTGTTTTACAAGTCCCAGTTCCATGACAGTTTTCTGCGAGTTCTGTATAATCAGAAATATCAAAGAAGGGCTTCCCGAAAATTGTTTAGACTATTATGAATGTATCTACATATTCTATGTATATGTTCTTTGTATATGCTCCATGTATGTGTTCATGTGTTCGTTTTAAGGGATCTTCACAGCCCATCTTCAAATAGTTAAAGAACAGATTGACAAGCACTTCTCACACCAAATTCCTGGGTGACAAACATTAGGTGATAAAAGATATTGGTCTAGAAGCTCTCACTTTGGCTCTGTATCTCAACAGCGGTTTGTCAGGGAGAGGCTTCAGAAGTAAGTCCTTGGTGAAAATTTTGAAACATCTGATAGCTCAGTCTCAAATCCCCTGCTGTGGTCTTGGTTTGTTTGGTTTTGCTGCCTGTTTTCTAAAATAACCCCGAGGGATCTCTCAGGGTCAGACAGCGGGTCAGGAGCGAAGCTGAACGTGAAACCCAGTTTGTAATTCCCTGCAATAATTGAGGCTGGGAATGCACCCGCTTAAACCTCTCAAAGCTCTGGCTGCATCCTCTACATTGCTTATTTTCATTGCAGTGACTGAGGGGTTTCTTGTTGGGGGTTTTGGGAGATGTTCTGCCTTCACGTGCCGCAGTGAATTGTCCTTGGTTGCAGGTTTAGGTTGGGACTTTGCCCTGGGTTTTGTCCTTGTGTTTTCAGCTTGTTGTAGGTCCCGCACTGAACCTCACGTTGTTGAGCCAGCACCGTCCATTCTTTGTTTCACTCCTTAAACTTGTGTTCCTGTGGATTTGCTGCTGTGATGACGAAGTGGTGGGAACTTCCCAATTATTTCCTTTCTGTGTGGTTTGCCCAGCATTTGAGCAGTGCCTGTTTCTGCCTGTTTTGATTTGTTCTTCTTCATACAACTGACAAAGACTCACCATCAGTTCCCAAACAACTACTGAGACTCATTTCCCTCCATCGTGTCCTTCTCCAGCATCTTCTGTGTTCCTCAGGGGCCATGGCTGTGACATCAATATTTCAGCGTGTTTGCTAGTTTTGCTTTTTGTTTTGGGCTTTTATTTGTTTTCTTTTCCACAAAGGCTGCTGTCACCCCATCATGGTGGATCACAGCCTTTAGAAAGTAACTACCTTAAAGAAAAAGCAAGTTTACCTTCTTGAACAAAGCCCTCCTGGACTTCTCCTCAAGGGAGGATTCAGTTTCTTAGCTCTGTGTATCTCGATAGTAAATTCCCTTTTTCTGTGGGAGTGGGAGGAGAACAACTTCTCAATCATTGCCAACTTGTGTGCTCTTCTCAGTCCTGGCTTTGGAGGATGCAATTTTTTTTTTTTTTTCCTTTGGCATTTTTAGGGCTGCTTGTATAAAACAGCATATTCTATATGGTTTTTAAACCTTCTGGAAACTTCCACTGCTATGAATAGTCAAAACAACTTGAGAATATTGCTGAAATAGCCCTCTTGTTACTATCAGACTTGCATGCCTCTATCATGTTTGATTTATTAGTTTGCAATTATTGTTAAAGGCAACGAAAGGATAGAAAATATGTTCTTGAATATTTGTATTTTTTTATTTCCTAGACCACAAACTCACAACAAAGAATATGATAAGTAAGATATTAGCACTCAGAAATGGAGCCACAAAACAAACGTAACTTCTGCTATTGATTTTTTTTTTTTTTTCACCTGGGTGACTGTTTTGGCAGCAAAGGCAGATTACCATCCTGTTACTTATTTGGAGTAAATTACTCTAAATTATAAACTAACCAATAAATGAGTATTGCTAAAGTATTGCCCTCCCATCCCTCACCCTATGCCTAAAGTCCACATCCCAAATAAGAAAAAAAATTGCACTGGACTTTTTTTTTTTTTTTTTTTTCCAATAGATACAGTAAAATAGACACTTCCTGGAATTATCAGCAATGAAAGAGCAAGGATATATATGCAATTAAAATGAATCATTGTAATGCAGTGATTACAACAGTAGAATTAAGGTGATGCCCATGCTTTTTTTAAATGATGCCATTTTGTTTTACTAAAGCATATTTTAAAAAAGAAGAGATAGCATTTATTTACATTTTTGCCCTTGATTTGGAGTTTAGTAGAATAATAATGGGGTTTAACCTATTTACTTTTAGGAGTGGCTTTATATTTATCAGGTCATACACCCACACATTGGCCTTAGGGAGAGAAATTTATTTGGCAGCATTCTTTAAAACACGAGATTTGATGTGAGGAAATAGATGGAGCACTGTCATTTCTGGAGTCTTGCATGAGCAGATGAGAAATTGAATCTTGTTTTGGATAAATTCAGGCCTCTGTCAGATGTATGGAAGATGGGAATAATTCAAGCAGAACAGTAAGTCTTGGGTGATTTGAAAAGAAAGGAAAAAGATTACTGTATCTTAAAGTATTTTAGTGGACTCTAGATGAATATTCAGGCTGAGGAGATGTTGTGAGGAAGACTAACTTGTAAAATACCAAATTATCACGAAATGTCAAGTACAAATGTACTGGCAAAGATAAATAGATGTTTGAAGTCCTTTTGTTTTTGACTGACTGTTATGTAGCACACCAAGTTGAGCGTTGATAAATAAATGCTGATAGTATTTGCTATTCCATAAGAATTCTCTTGTAGTTAGGTACAGATTTTACTAACAATATTTTGCATTCTGTGCCATGACATTGTATAATTCATATGTTTTCTATATACTTCAGGGGGATATGAGCTCATCTTTTGGTTTCTGTGAGAGTGTGGGACTGTGGGTGAAAGGGTGGGGGGGAAATGCTGTAGATATTCAGGGGTTGGCCTAGGGTGGAAGCTCGAGGGAACTGTTGGGATAACTATCTGAATGCTTCTCAAAGTGAGACTGAAGTGAACAGGTCCTGCCTAGAAACTCTTGAAATGACATTCTGTGCATTCTGTGCCTGTCCTTGGAGAGCCCAAAGAAAAGAGTTATAGCTCATGACAGATGGTGCTGTATGAAATAGTCTGTATGACCTGGTACAGGCACTGAATGAGGGTATCTGACATGAAGGAACATGTAAAATCCTGTCTGTGGTGCTCTCGTTAATCTGTCCTTTATTTATGGTTTCATCCCTTCTTTCCTGTGCTGAAAACTCACTTCTGGCAATTCTAGATTTTTGTGCAACCAATCCTGAAATCATCCTGGAAACCTGATGGGGTTTCAGGAGAAGTTCTGTGTCCTTGAGGATGATGTAGCCCTTCATGTTTGATGAGGAATGCTGAACTGAACTATTTCAGAGCTACCTTGTGAAAAGGTTCACAGTCAGCATCCTCCTTGGAAGAAACCCTCTCTGCCTGTAATTACTTTGTGACTGGAGTTGGAGGGTAGTGTGACTCTGTAGGTGTCTGATAAATGTTTTGGGTGGAATAGAGCACACATAAGAGGAATGAGAGGATAAAGCTGCATTTCAGTTCCATTCATTCCAGTCCAGATTGGTGCCTTTGCCTTCATGAACAGCTTATTTTTGTGTATTTAAAGGAAAAGAAAAAAAAATCTTTAGGAGAAGGCAACATTCCTAAAATAGGTGTTTTCATTCAAGTTTTGCCTCTGCTTTTCGTTGTGCTGTTTGTGTTTCTAGAATAGCAGGGACAAGCTGGTTTCATTAGGCTTTCAGTGCCTGTTAGAAAACACACTCCAATTCTGAACCAGGCTCAAATCAAATTACAAGT